CCATTACTGAAGAGATGCAAGAAAAAGGAAGTAATTTATCTAAGTTATCATAAAAGTAGCTAAAAGTGTTTCAAAGTCTTTTTTGCTCGTGTTAGCCAGGAGAAAGGGGGCAGATGTCTGATAGGAATATTTAATATCATCGCAATCTTCAAAGACGTATTATATGCATTAAGCACAGGAATAATGACCGACCTTATGATTTTGACCTAAAGACATAGAGTAGGTTGAAGATAATTGTTTGACTGACTCAATTTCTTAACAGGACGATGGGTGACAGTTAAACAATCACTTTTTCAGAACGCGCGGAGTTACAGAAATTACAGTCCTATAAAACCAAGAAACCCGCAAGACACTCTTCACCTGCCTTAAAAAATATTATCAGGCTCATAGTTACACAATGATACCCCACTGGCGCCCACGAAAGGGTCACAAAAATCTGGTTTATTAACAAGATGTTTAAAGAAGAAATGAGTGAGTTTTGCTTATTTCAATAACTTGAAGGTTGAGGGAGCGTCAATAACGAGATTTTCCTTTTCACCATTTTTAAGTCGCGCGTGTGAGAGCTGGTCGGTGTTACATTGACTTGCATCCGGGACTACTTTGGGAGTTCTCATTTTTACAATGGCTTTCACGCGGTTGCTTCAATATAGAAAACTGAATTCGAATTTTTTGCATCGACGACGAAAAGTTTGATTCGAAATGGTGATTGGTTGAGATTAATGAAGGCTCATCACAAGAATCAGAATATTAGAGAAAAAAGTTGTGGAAAGCAGGAATGCTCTCTTCATGAAATTTGTTATATGTTTTTGATCAGGAACTGATTTGTCACCCAAAACAATCCCATAGTGCAATTCAACCCAGTCTCATCAAGCGCCACCTCAATTTATAACGTCAGTAGCCTTAGAGAGCATCCGACATTTCCCGACGTCACCACTAGTTACCCCGCCAAATGAAGTCCAATCAGTGTTCTGATTGGTCATGCGCGATGGAAATTTACTTCAGCCAATCGTAGGCACTACCCAGATCGAGATAGTGAACCAACTTCCTCCTCAGGCGCTTCGTTTTTCGCGTCGTAGAGGCGAGCGCGAAACGCGAGTGACTGGTGATGAACCGCAAGAGACGATGGGAAGGGTCGCCGGTTGTCTCCTTCCCGCCTTCCTTTGCGTTCACATTTTCATCGAGAGAAAGACGTCTCGGTACGAGGCAGGTAGTGACACGTCATCAGTATGAAATCTCTGTTCTCGTTTCTCAGACGTCATTTCGCGGGAAACCAGTGGTGGGGTCGCGATATGTCGGCTGTTTTCTCAAGCTCTTGTTTAGTCCTAATTAATTTCGAAGTTCAGGAAAACGCAAGCAAACTAAAATTAAAAATGAATGCAACCCTGGCACAGCTATTAATATTTTGATTTATTTTGTTCATGAACGTGACCAAATCTGAGAATGGTTCATTAATTAAATTAAACTTTTCGGAGATCAGGCTCTATTTTCGTTTCGCTTTGAAAATAACTTTCCGGCGGGCAAGGCGAAACGAAAATAGATTTTAGCGGTGGCCGTTAGAGAGAATGTATGAGGACCGCTAAAATTGGGCCTGATCTCATCAGGTTAGCCTTTCGGGAGAAGTGAAGGAAAACCAGGGCTTATACTCAGGTCTCCGTCGAGAATTCGAATTTTCATCTTCAAGAAAATTCGATACAAAAAGAACACTCAAGACAAAAATGATGGAAAGCAGGGATTCTCTCTTTGAAGAACTTGCCATGGTGTTTAGTTAAATAAAGACCCGACGCATCTAAAGTAAATTTGATTCTTGCTGTCTTCTCATCAGGATTGGGCAAAACTATTTCCTGCCGAAGCTGCCTTAGTTGAAATCGTCGCAAATCTGCTGGTGTCTGAAGGTGCAGGCAAGAAAAGTTTTCAGAAAAGATCAAGAGTAAAAAGGAAAGGGACAGTTGGACTATTTACTCTGGGAGCAAACGAGCAAACGTAGCCCAAAAAAGCAAAAAATTGAAATATTTCAATATGTTAATAGGAACAGCCAATTAGAAACTTTTGAACAGAGTTTATCTTTATTCTTCGCGCGGTTATTACACTGTCTCTCAAGACAGTAAATTCTACTAAGTGGTCTTTTACTAAGCTGTAAGGTTGTTCCTGAGGGAGTGGAAGTCTTGATCAGCAGTAAACCCAGCTCTTTCTACGATATCTTTCTCTTGTTAAAAAGAAAGAGAACAAAATTCCTGACTGACTTTGGCAGCGCGAAAAGAGAATAATATACAACCTAACTTGTGATCAAGCGGAATTTTGCCTCACTTTTTATATTTTTAATACCTTGCAACAAATTGAGCTTGACCGCAATGAAATCGTAAGTACGTGCATTGATCATTTAGGACATACTCGAACCAGCATGACACTTACTTGTTTATTACGTCATGATACAGCGATTATTACGTCATTATAATATAATCATTTTGCGTTAAGAGATCATAGTGATCTCTTGATAGGATTTGAAAAATTAGCTCATTTTATGATAACTGTACATAAATTTCACTTGACGTGCGAATAATAGCTTGAGTCGAACCTTTGGAACTCTGCTGATAAGCATTCTAGCTAGAGAGCAAGCTCTATTCCTAGAAACATTGATCAAAGGATAAAATACGAAAACACGGAATGTTTGCCTGGTTTTGTGTTTGATCAGTGAAGTAAATCAAACTGATTATCTACTCAAGATATTTTGAATAAGAATGTAAGTCCTAACACCTTGTTATTGACTTAAGATAACGTGACGGATTGGCGAGTACGACCCGCTAAAAAGCACTCTTTCAAAACCTCAAAGCATTGCTCAATCAAAGCAAATTAGTGTGACTCGGAAATCAGTCTAGATGACAGCGCCTGATTTCAAACGTCGTACCAAAGGGTCCCGATCCTGTGGAGTTATAAATTGTCAATCAAGTACTAGCACTTTAATCTTCTTGTAAAACTGTGGTCTTTCTGCCAAGCTGTGGTACAGCGCTGCAACAGTTGAACTGCTGGTAATTGAACTGCTGAAGTCATGGAATTCGTGTGCCAGTATGATGTAAGAGAAATTCTGGGTCAAGGCTCTTTCAGCGAAGTAAAAAAATGTATCGATAAAAGGACGAGACAAGCCTTCGCAGTAAAGGAGAGAGTTTACAATACCGACGAGCAGAAAGAAAGAATCGAGACAGAGATACAGGTGAGGTGAAATATTCATACATCGACGAAAAGTTCTCAGTAAAGGTAACACTCTCTAGAGTTCTGATTACGCCGGGGAATTCGACGGACTAGGAATACGCTCCTGAAGAGTTATATTCAGCCGATTGCTTTAAGTACTTAGTGGCCTTGTTTATGGTTGTATTGCATAGAGTGAAAAGATTGGACAAAAAACCATCATTTGCAATATTGAACGTTTATTCCGCCCGTGATACTGCTGACTGAGTAGCAGTTAGGTTTTCGGACCTTTAAATTGTCGAGGTGTTTCTCTGAAAAACAATAATAACTATGATAAATAACACATAAAAATGAATGTAAAGTGTTAATGATCTTAAGCGTGCGATGTAAAAATAAATTTATCTCCTGTTTCTATTAGAGACAATTGAAGTTCTGTAGGAATGGTGAGGTCACACCACCCTTAAATCTATTCAGTATTTTAAGGAATTATAAACAAAGTACTTTGATGCCGTGAAATCTGCCAAGCGATCAAACTTTTTTGGAAAATGAGTTTTGTACCCCTTGAAAGTCGATTATAGATCCTTTTTTACCTAGATTCGTTTAGACCACACAATAAATTAAAGTAACCACCGAATTGTTCCATCGTTTTGATAAGCTAATGACTTAATAACTACCGCTTTTTAACAAAAGAGACGTATAAAGATGGACGAGTTAATGACGACATCTTATTCTTTTTAGAAGAATAGCAGTTGGTCAGTTAATGCACTTGCGGCTAAACTATGGAAAAGAAGAGGAAGTCGGTTTTTGAACTACGTGCTCAACATAACGTGATTTTCTGCATCTTTTAAGAACGATTTTGCATCTCACTACTATGTATTAGAGATAAATGAAAATATATTTTCTCTTTCAATAGTCTGGAATATGAAAAGTTAACGAGAAAAGCCCTAGCGTAGGTCCCGTGTGGTTGAGTTATGACTCGTGTTTAGTTTTGTTATCACACAAAGTCAAAGTTGATTAGTGGACCGCTTCAAATTAAAAACTTCAAGAACAGTACGTCTCGTCATCACGCAACGTGATGAGCTGAATTTTAAATGTTTATATCAGTTTTTTCTTCTGTTTCTTGGTCGCCGGGAGTGCATGAAACAACTTGTCAAAGATTTACTAAATTTTAAATTAAGTTGCATACTTGATTTTTTTCCTTTTTTTATCGCCTAGAAACTTCTTGCCGAAATGAAAGATTTAGCAGGATTAACTAAATTAATTTGCCTGTGCTTTAAGCTCAGTCCAATAACCTCTTTCGCGCCTAAGAAAACATATACGTCGCCTCTCGTCTCCTAGAAGCCGCCGCTTTCACATGTAAATTTACTTTTGACAATAAATGTTAGTCATGTCAGAGACCCTTTTCAGGGTAAAGACGCTGAATGTGAGATTAGTAGATAAGTTAAAAAAAAAAATCACTGTACATGGCTGCGTGCATTTTTTTCGGTGGCGTAGTACGGCTCCTACTTCGCTCCTCCAGTCGCACGTAAGGAGTCAGTTTCTACTCTGGTGCATTTTAATTTGATCGATGGATAAAGATAAAAAGTACCCTACGCGAGGTTTCTTTCTGGCATGGCTTTTAACAGAAGTCGTTTGAAGTCGCCGCATAAAAAAACCAACTAAGCGACTGACAAGCGACGTGAACGACTTCGTAAATGTTACAAGCCATTGCCAGAGAGACTGAATCCCAGAGCAGCGTGGACATGAGTATAGTTAATGTACATCTGTAAAGTAAGTATGAGTGGGAATACCGCCAAAAAAGAGCCGGATCAAAATTTTTCCCACGGCCAGGCAGTCTATACATATGGTGTCGCTGCAACATTGAGATGAATTTTTTCTTCCACCAGATTCTTCAGGAAATGAGTCATCATAACATTCTTAAGCTGCACCACGCTTATCCTGCGTTCGATCGATATTACCTCGTTATGGAGTTGGCGTGTGGTGGAGAGCTCTTTGAGGACCTGGTGTCGAGAAATGCTTTCTCTGAGAGCACTGCGCGAGAAGTCATGTTGCAGCTATTTAGCGGGGTACAATACATACACAGTCTTAGAATTGTCCATAGGGTAAGGAAAGTGACTTACATTACAGGTCTTGATGGTTGTAAGATTCTGGCAAACTGCCCAGCTACCCCTCCCCCAAGTCAAACATTTTGCTCCCAAGGTGAAAAGTTACAGTGGAACCCAGTCAATACGGACACCAAGATTGGGTCAGTTGGGAGGGTGCCAGTCTGCTGAGCGGAAGATCGCGGGTTCAAACCCCGGCCGGACCAAAACTCAGGGTCTTTAAATAACTGAGAAGAAAGTAATTCCTTTGCAATGACATCTGCAAATGGTTTAGACTTTCTGTTTTTTTCGGATAAGGACGAAAAACCGTAGGTCCCGTCTCACAGCACTTTCACTGATCTGGTTCTTGTGGGACGTAAAAGAACCCACACCATTATTCGAAAAGGGTAGGGGACGAAGACCCCGGTGGTCTGGCCAACCTTTCCTGGTTTGGGTGAGTTATCTGTAAGGAGAGATCTCAATATAGAGATAACCTCATGATCCTCCTTTAGGTGTAATGGCCACCTGTAAATATTGTATATATATGAGGAGACATACCGTAGAGTCCATATTAACTGGGTGTCGGGATAGAGTAGAATTTCCGCACCGTAATTAACAGATTCTCTGTCAAATGTTATGTCCTAAAGAATTCTCCGTACGAGAAGAAAGCATTCTAAATCAGTTTTACTAAGTTATCGATTTAATTGTAGAATATCCGACCTGAGAAACTCATCCTTGGTTGGAAGTCCGTCGAAAATAATAGCCATTTTCCACCTTTGAAACTCAGTGGCTTTGGTTTGGCCAAGAAATTACCAGGTAAGAATATATTTAACTTGATACAAAGACATACCAGCTGAGAATGGAAGCAAAACACTGTTGGACCATAACGTCGTCGTACAGCGTTTTACAGTCAATCTGTTGTATAATTTTACACTTTCAATCTTTTAGACAATTTAGACCTCATTAGTTGTCCGATTGAGGGATCTCCGCTCTACCTCGCTCCTGAAACTATCACTAAACAACCCATTGGAAGAGAGGTCGACATCTGGGCATGCGCAGTAATATTCTATACTTTGCTGGTGAGTTTTTTTTATGCCTTACATATGCCTTTAATTAAAATGCATCCCTTCTCCTCAAATGGAATAGGAAACATCATCGAAAGGTCACTCGGACATAGAGTCAAGTAACGCATTATTTTATAGGCAACAAGTTACATCAGGGTTCCAGGCAATCTTATATATTTTTTAGTTTTATCTGATCTGTTTCTTCTCTTTAGTTGCTAAGGGCGGGGAATTACATCTCATTAATGTATTGGAGCGGTTATTAGCTAGACGCACATGAATCCAAAATTAACTCTCGTAATTGCCTTGGTTTACCATACTTTACGATACTAAGCTTGTGATTGTGGATACATCTAGTCAGCGCGAGGTTCTCCGCCTCAGGGTAGAGCTTGTTGACAACTCCGTTGAAAACCTTTCCTTCGGCTTGCTTTAGCTATGTTAGCAGGCATGCAAACGTGTTTAATGATTAAATTCCTTTCTTTCTCTTAGGTAGGGAACAACAAAGAAAATAGCGGACGTTTGCTCATAGGCCATATAGCTACGTGCATTTGCTTCCCTTTCTGATTAGCCCATTGCCTCTCTCTGTGTATTAATTGGCCTTGATCAAGCTTAGTGCATAATTGCTCCCAGAGTGATATATGTGTAAGTTTTTGTCTCGTCAGCCACATATATATGGAATTATTCCAAATCTCCCCACAGGCTGGATACCCTCCATTCTGGAGTACAAATCGGACGGAACTTTTTGGACTTATTGCACGTGGAAAGTACAGTCTCCCAGACCAAGAATGGAAATCCATCTCAGATGGAGCCAAGCGACTAATTAAGAGCATGGTAAGAGACTTTTTTCGGGGGCTGAGCAACATTTATATTGTTAATACAACAGTAACTTTTATACCCCTTATTTACGTCGTTTGGGTAAAGTAAATTTAGTACGTCATGGGGTATAGTTTCCAAAATTAGGATTATTTTTACCCCAGTGCTGAAATAGTTCTTTCACGTCTTTGGTACACAGAAAACAGTGTTAGAGCTGTGTTACATACTAAGTACAGTTGGCCTTGCACTACGGAAAACACAAATCACCGCGAAAAGAAAGCCAAAGCTACACCAACCTCCTTCTATTTTCCAGTACACCAGCTTCAAACGACTGTCTGCCAGGGAACTATTATTCTGAAATTAGTGGAAGTGGAAGACACATTGTGTGAACGAAATTCGGATGCAAATCTGATTCGCTTTGTTCCTTAATGGAGAGGTAACTCGAGTTATCGACTGTTATCGAGTCATATTCCAGCTAACCTCTTGTGAAAATTCAAATACAGATGAAGGCGAGGAGAGGCTGTAAATGCCTATGAAGTAGAATCCATCCACTCTCTGTCAGATGTCACTAATTTCCTTAACATTACTTTTTGTAGTTCATGGTTGATAGGAATGAACGAGCGACAGCCACAGAGCTTGTTAAAGACCCGTGGACTCAGAATAGAAAACTATCGACCGCTCATCGGAAAGGAACTCTTGATCACCTCAACGCTTTTAATGCCAAGAGGAAACTGCGAGGAGCTGTTTACACGATTTTTGCCTTGAAAAGAATGATGGAAAACCCAGAGCCTTTGACGAATGGCATTTAAAACATAAAGTCATAATCGGCTTACACTGAGTTTCAGGTTCCTCTCAGTCGTATATATTAAAAAAAAACGCAGTTAACATAAATTATTTTGTCAGTAGGTGTCTACATATCAAGCAAAGCCAACTCAGAGGACAAGGACTTTTACATGTAAAATGAATTTTTTTTGTCAAAGATTTTGTGGGCTTTACAGATTGTAGAGAAAAACTTTCTCCAACTTATTTGGAACAAAACGACTAACTGAAACTAATGACTTTATTATGAGACAGTGCTATAAAGCCCTAGACTAGGCTAGTACAGGGATAAGCAAAAGCAAATTAAAAATAAAAACAACCATCATCAAAAGTGGTGGAAATGTGTATTAATAATAGTATTAATAAAAATATCATGAATAAATGTACATAAATACATTACTATGAAAATAAAATAAATTGAACTGTCATTGGAAGCGTGTCCTTAATGACTGGTATTTCTCGTTTCTAATGTTCGAAGACAGCCACTGAATGAGCTGAAAAATAAGTCTGCGTGCGGGAAAATTAGTTGCTATTACTTTCTTCTTCTTTCTTTCTATTCAGTTACTTTCCAATTTTTCCCTAATATGGATTACTTAGGATCTTTGGACTTTTCTACTACTGTAACTCTTCTTTCCGTTTTCCCTTCTCATTTCTTCCATTAGGAACTTAATTAGGCCAGGGGCACCCAACGACAATTTTCGGAAAATTATCTGTTCGGAAGACGATTTGAGGTCTAGAATCTTCGGATCATTTTCTGAAACATTTCTTGCTTGCCTGCCTCTCCTAGGATTTTCGAACTTCAAAAATATCGTATAATTGCCCATTTTTAACGGATTTTTACCCTAAAAAGGTCACCTAGAATTTTCGGGAGCCTTTTTTTCTTGAAATTTTCGAAAAGGTACATTTATAATGAAAATTTTTAGGGGATAAAAATAAGCCTTTATCTACCGTTTAAATACTAAAGTACGTTCAACAATGCTATGTTTATGTGGTTTTGAACTATATTCTCGTTGGGTGCCCCTGTTAGGCCCCTGTCGATTGTTCTAGCATTTGGCGTAATCTGGAAAAACGACTGATTTCATGCAAGCTAATCAAGTACATGACAGGACTTGTCAACGATCAATTAAGATAATTAGCATAGAAAAAACTTTTACGCTCCATAAGTCTGCACAGAAAAAACATTTTTTCCTGGAATTTTTTTTAAAAAGAAAGCTCTTTACGAGTTCTATTTAATAATCTAAAAATTGCAATATTCGGAAAATGATGTTTTTTTTTACCCTGGATGATACCTTAAATAAGCACTCATGCTGGCATAATCAGCCGATTTTTTTTCTGTTTTCGAATAGACAATTAGGGATAGATCATTATTTTCCTGGATGGAGAGGATGAGACAGCAAACAATTTTTTTAATATATGCCCCTCTGCAATTATTAAAAGCGCTATTTTTCGACTGAAAAACAATCAATAGTGCTATGAGGTCCGTACTAGGAAGTTACCTTTTGGTGGTCACCGACGCAGATCATTACGTTGTGAGTTTCGTACCCAACCGTTTGCCAAATGCCCAATTGCTAATGATGCTAAAGCAGCCTTTAATTGAATCAGCCTCGGTATATGAATACAGTACTGGCTGGTTTTTTTTCCTAAGTTGGCTTAAATCTTTAATTTACCGTACTCGTATACGTTTTGAGCTAGGAAGCGGTTTGCGAAAGAATTTCTCCGTTGCACACAGTTTGTTCATTCTAGACCCCAGTGCTGACGGGTTTGGGAATGTGCGCGTAAGCTCTGGGAAACTCTGCGCCTTACTCTGCGCTCTGTGCCGGAGTAGCCTTTCTTGGTCACGTGTAATCTCGTACCCAGATCTCACTCTGTTTTCTGGGTACGAGATTAGGTCACGTGGTCTTGAAACCACTGGTTCGGTTCTGGGGACGAGAATGGCCAAAATCATTCTCAGTTTGTTATAAAATTTAAAAGAACAAATATTGGAGCTCTCGGCTGATTATTAGCGAAAGTGGTACCGCTTCTTCGGGGAAAAGTTGTTGAAAAATTTCACTATCATTGTTAGGAAAGCCATAGTCAGGCTTTATAGGGACTTTGACAGGGAGTACATAAGATTGATCTCACGCAAACTGAAGAGAACTTTTTCGGATACCTGACCGATAACCTTGGACTCCTTGTCCATCAAACGAGAAAAATGGATCTTCTGAGTTGCGCAAGGGCCCTGGAAACGGGCTTAAAAACAAAGCACTATGGGTAATTGGTTTAATCAACATGGCGGTTTTGGCCGGGCCGGTGTATGTTGATGTTGTTTGTGAGCTCAATAATTACAGATAATGGCATAATTTTGTCTTACTCGCTAGAAGCTACAAATTTTGACTCAAGTGGCGATCGTAGACTCTTCTGATACTTGTGACCTACATTTTTAACACGAAGATTATACGCACTCATTAACCGACAAGATCAACATGATGTTCTCGAAGCCGGCTCTTGCTTAATTAATGTCACGGAACTAACGTGGTATTTGCTTCAAGATCCTTCAGTCGTTGCAATGGAAAAGTGGATCAAGGCGCTGTTTAACCACCTTAGTAAGTTGCTAGCAGTAGAAGTTCCTGGTTTAAGAACAGGATCCAGTAAAGTGCAAGAATGTTCAATCAAAACAAGGCTTGCACGAACTGGAGTGCTCAACCAGCCATTTCCAAGGCGCATTTTAATGGGAGGAAGCAAACGGAAACTCAGATCTGTCTGGAATCAAAGAAATCCAAACCTCTTTACTTGTCGTGTATTCTCAAATCTTGGTAGTTTGGCGGGGAACCAGTTTTCTTCGGCCACCAAAGCTCGTTCTCTTTCGAGTTTGTTTCAAAACAAAGTTCGTAGCATGTACCATGAACCCTGGATGATGTCAGATGAGGAAGTTTTGGATATTATTTCTAAGCACGAATGTGCAGAAGTGCTAAATCGTGGTATTGTTAGCAAGTATGAGTCAAATCAGTTGCCGTCAAACAAACCTGTTGAAGATCGAAGATTTGTTTCCACGCTTTTGTATGACAGCGATGCCTTGTTAGTTGGAGTGTTGGATGGTCATGGCGGGGACACATGTGCTCATAATGTTTCTCAACGTCTTTCGGACTATATTGGTGCTGCACTGTTACCAACAGATGTTCTTGTAGGCTCCACAGTGAAAAACTATTTATTTTCTAAGCATTTCCTTGTTTGCAACAACCCTGGTATGTACAACTTTCATGAGGATCCTGTTTGCCATGAGAATTTAAAAGGATTCTTTATGGATCTCAGAAGGATTCAAAAGAGACTACATACAGGGGCTGAAGACTCACCCACTCTTACCCACCTTAAGGAGTCTCGCTCAGGTTACCAAACCGCTATCACTGAGACAAGGGAGGAGGAAATTTTCCATACCATGACAGCTATTTCTAAAGCCTTTCTGAGATTAGATAGCGATTTAAGCCAGGAAGCTTTTACTCAAGGGAAAGACAAGGAAGGCAACAAACATAAATTTAAATCCATATCATCAGGGGCCTGTGCATTGGTTGTGCATATAAAAGGTACTGAGCTGACTGTGGCAAACTGTGGAGACTGCCGTGCTGTATTGGGTGTTCAGAGTGAGGATGGATTGTGGTCGGCATTGCAGTTATCCAATGATCATACAGCAGGTGAGTACCTTTCCCAGGGTTTTCAAGAATGATAATGATAATGATAATAAAAATAGATGTCTTTATTTTTCATAAGATAAAAACTACATATCTTATGTCACATATTTTGAAAATATGACAGCCAATAGAGAAATTAAAAAATAATAAACATAGTGGTTGGTTACATATTAAGATTGTATCTATAGGTAAGTCTAGTGATAAAAGTATTCTTAAAACGTTCTGTATTAATTAGAGTGTGAGCGCTATTCTTGTTGCGCAAGTTAGAATTGATGACCTTAGTCTTTGAGACTGCTCATGTAGCGGGTGAGTACCAAGTTGAGAATTTTTTAAAAAGCTGTCGTGTCTTGTTTTTCTAATGAAGCTCTAACATTTAATCTAACTGAAATGTATTGCCTTTTCAGGGCTCGAAATTGCGACCGATACGGTCGCATTTGCGACTTAATTTTTCTTATTTGTGACTAGAAAAACGAGAGTAGTCGCAAATTTGCGACTAGGTTTTGCCTTAACTGATACGAAATAAAAGGACTAGCACTTGAATTTTTGCTTAAATGAATTTAGAAATAAAAAGATTCATTGAAGTAGCGTCTTATAATTTTGTTACAATCTGAAGGTTTACCGTAATTTACCGGGAATGCATACACGCAATGATATTCCTTTAACAGCACGCCATTTTCAGCGGGTTCTGTAAACATGTACATTGCAGGCTCATATTTCGTTTTGATTTGCCGCTGACAGTCGTTAGTCACTGAGCAAGATCAAAGGAACAGAAACAAGCAGAAAAACTGGAGTCAATAACTTTCGTTGGTAAAAAATGAGTACTTAGGGCTTCATTGTTTCTTCATTTGACAGTAACGGTTAGTTAAAAAAAAAAGAGTTACATGTAAAATAAATCGGTTCCAAGTGGGTTGCGAATCTACGTATACATGAAAACGAGGTTTAGCAAACAAAGATGGCGGAATGTCCGCATGGCACGTAACGTCATATTGAATGATTCAGTCCTTCAGGGTTCTTTGAATAATCACTGTAGTAACACCCCTGATACTTCAGATGTAAAGCTTAATATATAAAAGAATTCGTTACTTGTTTTGTCATCGGTGGAAAACCTGCAAAAGGAAAAACTAAAGGAATTTAGTTACGTAACGTAACCTATAACCCTGTCGGATGTCCGCCCAGTACAAAGTTATTGCTATTTTGCAGAGATTGGAGGCATTTAAGAACTGCAGTTTCCTGCTGTAATATCTGTTCATGATTTGGAAATCTATCGCTTTGACTAAAGTAACAGACACTAATTTATGTGCCTTAACGCAGGTTCAACTTGATCGTTTAGATGAACTGGTGTTGTCCGAGATGCTAAACGTTCTGTACTATTAAGTCTCGAAATGACATGAAAGCTGTTGAAAGAATGAAAATTAAAGCGTTAAGCATTTAAAAGCCTACTTATTTCTTGATTAAATGGCCTCAATTAATTTCGCGACTAACATTTTCAAAGTTGCGACCAAATTTTCGTAACTAGTTGCAAATTTGCAACCAGACATTTTTTTTAATTTCGAGCTCTGCTTTTATGGCATCTGTTTAGAAAATCTTGCACTGTTGCTATTTCTGGCTCTGAGGTTTCATGTACCACTAGTGCATAGGTGACATTGGGTAAAACTATGGTCTTAAATGAACAATCTACCTCAAGCTGACTACATCCCTCCTTTTGCATAGGTCTTATAAGGTACAGGCATTTATTGGCCTTAGGAAGCTTGTCCTTAACAGGCTTATCCCATCTATAGTCTTGATGGAAATTTAGTCCAAGGACAGTAAGTCTGGAGCATAGTGGTGTGTTCTAAATCATTTTATAAACATCGTTATGTCTCTTCTACTGGAAAACAAGCTCCTTACACTTACAGGGATTGTATTTCATTAAACTGCTACTACACCATTCTGAAATTTTTTTTTAACCAAGTTCAGCTGCTGGGTCAATTGTTCTTAAACAACAATTGTGCAGTCTTCAGCATATGTGAAACTAGAGACAGTTTCCCAACCCATACTCATCTCTAAGTCATTCAGAAAAATGCTAAATAAATAAGGGCCACTCACTCTTCCTTGTGAAGTACCCTTATTTACATGCTTCCAATCACAGATACCGGTAACTTTATCATGTGCCACCCCTTGCATTCTGTCCTTTAGAATTCAACCACTGATTGACAATATATGGGTGTAGAGGGATGTCTTAAGTTTGGTAGCAAGAATTTGGTGGTTTACGGAGTCAAATGCCTTGCTAAAATCTATGGTGAACATACTGACAGCCTTGCAGTTAGGATCATCAAAGAACTTGCACACTTTATGCTGAATGAACACAGATGACTGACAAAACACGTCACCTATTTTGCTCAGAGAAGTAGGCTACTTTCCCCTCCTAAATTGGAAGCTGAGAATGAAGTTTAAACTCAAAGAATGATTCTATCAAAACTAGAATATTATTAACATTCAGTGTGCTGGACTCTGCTTCAATTTTAAAATATTTATGAAAAGATTGAGCCTCTCATCTGTACATTACGTATCCATTCTGGTTAGAATGATGTTATCTTTTGTACTCAATTTAGTGCCGAAAGAACGCTACAAATTGCATTTTAGGACACTGCTATTTCTAAATTTTCTAGGGGAGCATGCCCCCAGATCCACGTAGGAAAAGAAGATTAAAAGCCGCTTGTTCATAAAGTTGGTTACTTTATTCAAACCTGCTGGCTACTTGAATTTTTATTGAAACCCCTTCTTACCCACCAAAAAAAAAGCTATTGGTGGTAAATGCATGACAGACATCTCTCTAAGATGGACAGATGGTGCCAGTCCCAAAGCTGACAGTCTTAGAAAGTAGTTGACTGTAGAAAACAATTTCTCTATGCTCTACAAACTAAAAACTTGGCAGTAGAATTTCTCGCCTGTGGCTCCACTTAAGTAGAACATTTCGATATCTTTCTGTGGTCTGTAAGAGTAGACAGAATGTGTGGAAAAAATTGTGGTCTCTTTGTTTTTTAGAATAACATTAAATGTTGTTAATTCATTTATAGTGAACTTGCTATTCCAAAAAAATATGGGTAAAAAAATATTGATATTGAAATATTGACCTTGGAAATTGAGTGACTTTTTGTATCATCTTTTTTTGTTGTTCAAAGGCCATTTTGTGCCTCATCAGGATGAAACTTCATGATTTTAGTGTATTTTACACTCAGAAACTTATGATCACCATACTGCGTCTAGCTTAGTGCTTACTTCATGCAGTTAAGGTGACTGGCTGCTCCTTGAAGCAGGGGCGGATCTAGGGGGAGGGTGCAGGGGGTGCGCACCCCCCTAAGATGACCTGCAGTTTTCTAATACAAATGGTATTCTGCCAAAAAAAAAAACTATGTGGTTTATTGGCGTTGAAGTAGAGCAAGAGACGAGTGCACCCCCTCCTAAAAAATTATCCTGGATCCGCCCCTGTAAAGAGGCTGTGTCACGGCAGTCCAGTTCATTCTGTTTAATTTTGCCAATTACTCGCCCTCAATCGCTATGGAACTTAAAGTAAGCAAAGAAACTACACGTAAATGACAAAATCAGAGATCCGAGACAAACAAATATGTCTCCTGAACATTATTTTTGAAGTTGCAAACAGCAGGGACCAACTTTGAAAAACTGTTAGGCTGAACAGTTTTCAAAAACCCTAATTTCAATCCGTTTCCATCTTCTTCAGTTTTGCCCAACCGTGGCATCAGTTGTTTCTGTTATGCTGTTTGAACCTTCCTTTAAAGTTTTAAGTGGCTATTTTTATGTTTCTCTTAACTTAACGGTCATTTTGTAATTTCCTGATTTGGCTGAATTTCGTGACACAGCTCCTTTAAGGTGTGGGACCCATCAATGTCAAATGCACCACACCTACATTTGTAAACTCATCCATTGTCACTAAATCAATTCAGTGTTCCTCATGAATTTTCTTCTCTTACAGGGAACCCAAGCGAAGTTCAGCGGGTGTTGAATGAGCACCCTGTGGAGGAAGCCTATACCTGTCTCAGGTCTGAAAGGCTTCTGGGACGTCTTGCACCTCTAAGAGCATTTGGCGATGCTAAATTTAAATGGAGTAAGAGGAAGCAAGAGAAAGTGTTTCAACAGAAAGGGCTCGCGCATCTGTCAGATTTTCATACGCCACCTTACCTCACGGCTGAACCGGAAGTGACGTCATACCAGTTGCAGCGTTCAGACAAGTTTTTAATCCTTGCCAGTGATGGATTGTGGGATATGCTAAGTAATGAAGAGGCTGTGGACATTGTGCGGGAGAATTTAAAGCGGCGTAACCCTGGTAGCAGTATCGTTTACCAAAGGCAAGAATCAGCTGATGATGATGAACTGAAATCTTCTTGTGAGTTGGAGAACGCAGCTTCTTGTCTCATCAAGGAGGCTCTTGGTGGTGCAGATCACGTGTCTGTAACCATGAGCTTAAGTATCCCATACCCTGATGTGCGTAGATATCGTGATGACATCACTGTTACTGTGGTGCATTTTGATTGGAGCAATGTGGCAGTGGAGTAGCTTCCTGTAAAAAAGGCCTTGCCCTACGCAATAATCAGTAGGCCCTGTGGTGCCTAGTTCAAAAGTCGACATAAAGCTGTATGGAAAGTATCTTAGCGAGGAAAAGTTGGAACTGAGGAAAGAACACATTGATCAGGTGAATTATCTCACCAGCGCGTTCATTGTCGTTTGACTTTTGATAGCTTAAATGAATGTGTTCGTGTTTGGTCAGTAATTCTTAGTTCAAGGAAACTTTATCTTTAGGAAACTCGGTCCTGTCACACTCAATAGTGGAGCTTATGTTTATTTATGTGCTGTAAATAATAATTATGTACTCTAAATTGATTCGCCGTTCTTGGCTATCCCAGATTTTACCACCCATATAAACAGCACAAAATATTTGTGAAAGGGTCTATTATTAACGGGGAAAGCGAAAGTGTTTTTATATTGCCAGGTGTCTTTAGGTGATAACTGGTTGTTATTCTTAATAAGTGACAATGGTAAATATATGTGTGATGGTCGAAAGGACAGTAATTCTCGATCGATCATCTGAGATTGTCGCGGTTAATGCGTGGCCTGTCTTCCTGTCTTATTCCACAGTGAACCATTTTTCAGCGTGAAACATTGTCAAGCATAAGAATTGACTGTCTCTGACAGAATTAAACTTGAAGAACTGTATCTTTCGAGTTAATTATGTAATATGTCTTGAAAAAATGTCTCCAATTCTTCTTTTCGAAGGGAGTACTCTTGTACCAGAAATTGTTTCCCAAATCATTGGTGTCGGGTCCTTTACAATATATTATTATGTGCGTTATATATTGAGGTAACGTTATTCCGAAAAAAAAATACACAAGGGATTTTTAAAATTATTTTTCAGTCATATTTATTCGTTTGTAAATAAAGGCAATAACACAGCAAGCGCAGAATAAAGAGACAACGAATCGAATTTGTTGTGTTTAAGTTTATTTAAAAGTGATTGTATGTATAAGCTAGACTTTTTTAGTGAATTTATAGTACTTGCTTTCTTTTCTTTGGGTCAGAAAGGCGTTAGACTTGCCTAACTCAAGGTAGCCTGCAAGCAAGCTGAACGCCCGGAGAGCTTGCTCGTAGGCTAAACTTAAGGTGAACATTCACTGTTACCTCGATACATTACAATGCAAAGATAATTTTGATACAAAAAGATGGTCCGGTACCCTGCGTCCTTCGTTTAAGGGAGCAGTCTTGGCGTAAGTCAAAGAAAAACTCGCCCGTTTATATTATCCCTGCAAGTAACGAGTCGACTTTTGCAATCAAAACACCCATATATTGAGACCACAGTCTCCTTAAACATTACTCAGGGAACATTCTAGCATGAATGAGTCAGGACGCGACAATTTGTACCCAACTAAAGCAACGTCGTACGACAGAAAGGAAAAACTATCCTACCTACAAAAGAGTATATTGCCTATAAAATTTTAGGAGAGTGATTATGAGTAGACTATGTTATAATAATGTACAATTCATCTTAGAACACTATAACTTTTTGTCCGTTTCAGTCTTTTGTTCGGGACGTTGACAGTTCATACTGCATTACTTTTTCAGATAACCTTCTTAGCAGACTGGTTTATAAAGCTAACCTACTGGGTAACCCAGGCTACTCTCATGAGCGCCCATTTTTACTTGTTACCTAATTTATCCTTCTTCCATAGAAGACTCGTCCCCAGTCGTCTCTCACTATCTCTCCCTAATGACGCGGTTAGCGTTAGATAACATCGAGTGAAGCCAGATTGGACACCTTATGAATTTTACACAACGCATTATTTCCATAATGGAACGAGACTGGAATGTAGAATGAGGCTAGAATAGCTGTAGAAACCAAAACTACAGAGCGCCAGTTATGGAGAGAACACAGTAGAGAGTTAAGCACTGATCTGCAGTGATTAGGGTTAAGCGCTGAACTGAAAACGGTTAGCTTCCAAATATTGTAATGGGGTACGACATAAATAAGAACAGGTATATTTTAAAAATTATTGGATTTGGCAGCTAGTCCTCGATGGTGTAGTGGATATGGATGTAGGCTATAAAGCAAGAGACCCGGGTTCAAAGCATTGCAGTAGATTTTTTCTCTTTCATTTTATATTATACAGTAAAGTTGGACTTAAGTTGCTCTTCATGTAATTTTACTGAAAGAAACAATCTGACTTCAGCCGATGTTACCTAATGCTAACCTAATGACGCGCGGGGTGTGATGGGAAGGACGTAAGCGAGGGAGAGAGACGTCGTCTTCCTCCCTTTTCCCTTCCCATCACACCTTGCTCCCGCTGCGCGCGTTACACGAAGACGACCGGGGACGAGTCAGCTTCTACAGTCCAAGGCTACTCCTGCCATCGGGAGAGCTTGAACTGAACTATTCGTTTTAATGGACACTATATGTGCACGATGACGTCATTTTACTGCAACAATCGAAATTCTTCAGTTTATTGTTTTCTTGTGCAAATTGTTATTTTAAAACTCAGCGGGGTGGAAAGGATATAAATAAGACATAAAAAACGAAATGAATTCTGGTAGTTGTAGTCAAATGTTAGCGTCGTCGAAGAAAATGGCCTCTACTGCGGCTAGCCTAATCCATGCCTGGAACCGGTTATGGTACGACTCAGCCTTGTTCCCAGTCAGCCTTGGCGAGTTCTCTGTGAAGCAACTGGGACGCCGCGCACTCGTACTGTGCTTTTTTGGGGGCCCCCTCTGCATTCAAAATCAAAGATGGTGGACGACACCTAGAAATACTGAGAACTCGTCTTGTTAAGTACTTCTACACTGAAGTGAAGCGGCTTCGGCCACCTTTTCGCCGTCCCAACGAGAGTTTCGCCTTGAGCGGACTCATCAAGACAATAATATAAATGCAAATTGCAAATTATACCAGGATTAATCATACCCTGATAAAGGAATGCAAATAAAAATTTCGAGCTCGGACGGCATTTCTTCCCTTTTAAGTTGGAGGGTATTTTACGCGTAGATTATGTAGTAATTGCTTGAAATTGAACTGTACTTGTTCAACCCTAAACTGTCGGTTAGTTTTTTTTTGTGAATTATTGGTTAGGGACATTGAATTCCTCACTCGATCCACTGTACATTCCCTTTGAGGGAGAGCGTTAATCCCCGTGCATATGTTTGGATTATATGTTTGGAAAGAGAAATGCATGTTTGCAACAAAGATACTTATACCCTATGTACGGATTTCAAGTTTTCAACTGATCGAAATGTCTAACAATATCAAAGCTCCTTAGAACGCCGTGTAAAAAAAGTGTAGTAGTCCGCGTTAGATAGTTACGCATCTACAGTGGTCACAAAGCTGCTTGAGAGAGATATTCTCTTACTCATCGCAGTGTAACGTCGGAGAGACTGTTCGTCGTTCGTGGTGTCAAGCATGTCCAGCAATATGTTATCTGCTGCATCGTCGTTGTCACTGCACCTTTCCAATTGCATGGTCAGCCGATCCACGTTTTTGTTCAACGTAGCGAGTGTGCGCAGAATTCGTTTGCCGGTGTCGAATTCTATTGACACACAGCATCCCGATAGAGAATCTTCGCTGTCACGATGCTTGTAATCAGAAGGCTTAAAAGGAGGCGAGGTTGGGAATGCATTCGACTTACCACCCGACCCGATACGATTTCTGTTGAGACCCAGGTTCCCTCTGAACTTTGACATGATAAATTCTACCATCTCGTATTCGTTCATCTGTTTATCGTTCGAAGCCTTCACATCAGCAAATGAGTCGTTTATGATTGCTACGAACATGTTAAGCAGGTAGAAAACGCAGAAGTACATGAATGTAAAAAAGTAGAAGGGCCCCAGCAAACGGTTTGTACTCTCGATGCTCCTGTAATCAAAGTCGCCCAGAATTATGGCTGTTTGAGTTTCAAACGTGGTGAGGAAATTCTTGAACTTGTCGTTCTCGTTGCTAAACGACAGAAACGCCAAGATGGCATACGCGAGAAATACCAGCATGAAAGTCACTAGAAAAGATCCAAGTGGCTTGGCGAAATCGGCGATAGTTGACCCCAGAAGTGACATACGCTTGTTAAACCTAAAGAGTTTCATGAACCGCAGGGTAACCAAGAACACAAGCAGCCCCATGATCAGACTAAGGGACTCGTCTGCTGCCCCGGCGTACTGGAAGCTCACAAAGTTCTTGGGATTGTAACGCAACTTTAAGAAGTTTTCTTCAGCTTGTAACCAGCGTGCAAGATAAAGTATACCCATGGCAAACTCACAGACAATAAGTAGCACCTGTTAGTAGAGAGATAATATTTCTCAAAACGTGAAATGCCAATATATTAAATAATATAATAAATTAATAATTTAGTTTTTAAATCTATTTTCCAATAGGAAACTAATCTGACCTTGTTACGAATCACTGCATATTAGCAGCTGTTGCGACCAACAAAAGGTAAATGGCTTGAAATCTTTCCGTGAGAATCTGTTTATACAACGCAGGGGCGGATCCAGGATTTTTTTAGGAGGGGGTGCACTCGTCTCTTGCTCTACTTCAACACCAATAAACCACATAGTTTTTTTTGCAGAATACCAGTTGTATTAGAAAACCGCAGGTCATCTCGGCGCGGGGGAGGGGGGGTGCGCACCCCCTGCACCCTCCCCTTAGATCCGCCCTTGCAACGTGAAGAGAAAAAGGCCGGAGGGACGAATGCTAAATATTACCCCCCCCCCGGGTCTTAAATTGGGGGCGGAATCGCTTGGTGAGAAAAAGCACCCGTCATAGATGAAAAGCACTACTCATACGCGAAATACAACCAGCTACTTAGCCTACAACTGGTATGAATAAATGAATGGATAAATAAATATAAGAAATTACCTCCATCCAGTTAAAGAATCCATGAAAGTACGCTTTGCGCTGTTTGTACATCTTTTTACCTTCGCGATACATGAAATAAAACATGAAGAAAACCAAAAAAATCTGACAGGCCAGAATGAAACTGCTGTAGGGACCAACATAACTGTACAGACGTGAGACGACAAAATGGACTCGAGGAAAGGCACCGCCCGTTGGCAGGAATTCTACGAACATAAACGCGATGCCAAATAGGTTCACGTTAGCATTGTACACAGTGAATTCAACGAAAACTGCGCGGGTTCTCGTGTCAATCCAGTTATGGGAATGCAGATCCGCAATTACGGTCAGTGCCGTGGGGTAGTCGTATCCTAAATCCGCGGGGTATCCACCCCCGCTGTAAAGGTTCATATGGCCCCAGAAGGGGTAGCCATTGAGATCTAGAGTGTCATGATACAACCATCGGGTGGGGCAAGATATGATCGAACCATCGGGAAGAACAGCAGAATCGAGGACGAAATAAGTTTTTACTGTATTTCCGGGTCGTTTTCGTTTTCTCTGTTGACGACCTGAAGTAGATGTGTACACGGGCTCGATTGCACGACGTAAACGAACACGAGACGAATCACCATATTCTGCGAGTGTCTCTTTTCCTATGTCCCTGAAGGCGAACTGTTCTTCAATACTCCTCCTGCGGCGAGCAGTTGTTGCATGAGTTTTGTTCAGATAAGCCCATCCCACATCATAGTCTCCCTTGTCTTCTTTCAGTACAGAATATTCAGCTAAGCAGTCGTTGAAATAGGGCTTAAAATCGTCTACAACGACACAGGAATCTGTAAAAGGAACCGAAATGGGAAGAGTGCAGCTTTAATGTTTTATCAAAAGATAAATTCTCTTAATAGACCCCACCTGTTTACAAGGGCCCGAACGTGACAAATTTTTGAACGGACGAATTTTTTACCTATGTAACCCGTTTTAGCTTTACCTGGAACCGGGGAAATTCTGTTACATGTAGTGCTGTTTACACTAGTCCTTACCAATTTTTTGCAGGTGTCAGCATTGGAGTGGCTTTTTTTTTACCAAAGCCGCGTAACCTGGCTTTACGCTTTTACGTCGCAAACTATGCAAAAACTGGCACGGTTAGAAGTTAACACGAGTCCGCTTAAAAGTGGAACAGTACCGGTCAAAAATTCTGACCTACTTCTGATCAGCTAAAGAACTTGCGCACTTTGGGGTTTAAAAACTTGCCCAGTTCCGTGGATACCGTGTAAACAAAAGGCGGATGCGTGCAAGTTTTGCTCCGTTCAAAAATTTGTCCGGACCCGTGTAAATGGGGGTCTTTGCCGTTAAAAAAGTTGCCAGGTTCCGCAGCTCCCATGTAAACGAAGGGCGGATCCGTGCAAGTCTTTGTCTGTTCAAAAATTTGTCCTGACCCTGGTTAACTGGGTTTTAGTTTCACTAGTCAAAATAAAGACGGATGTAAACAGTCAACCAGATGCGGTTTGCGGTACCTAATATATAAATTATCTACCTATAAGGTATGAATGTAAGCATCTTTTCCTGCATGCCATTAGTTTCTATCAAATCAGTACTCAATGTAAAACCATACTATTAGTGTAGGTCCATTAGTACGTTTAATAGGAGACTGCTAAGTTCTATAGTTTAAATCTTGGAGAACATACTATTGTATTTGTCTAAAACACAAAAAAAATAAACAGTAGAAGTGGCGCCCTGGACACCGCAGCAGCCCTAGCAACTATAGTGAGCCAAAGATTGAGGTCATAATCGCCGACTTTTGTGGGACGGCAATTTAAAACCTATCGTCCTTTAAAATGATAACAAAAACAAAAAAGAATCATGTTCATTTCAAACGTACTGGTTCTATTTCAACAAAACTATATTGTGGGCCTTCTAGTTTTTTTTTTTTCTGGTAATCACGTTTTGCAGAGATAATCGCGAAGTTCTACGTTGAGTCCTTCCACACAATCGTGGACACTGATTTTGCGCCCCCAGAAGATTTTTAAGGGGCGCATGACATAACTGCCATTACCTGCATGTATTTTGGTCCTTGTTATCTGTCTATGCGTCAAATGGACTTCTCTTAACTTAATTCCATTACCTCTAGTTTATCTTTAATTTTCATTTGAATCTTTTTCATACCTTTTTGCACTCGCGCTTGTCTGAATCTGGAGATGCCAACCAAATAGTTGTTCCGGTCGTCAATAAACCCCGTGTATTTATCCGATTTGTTATTGTATAGCACCCCCGGGTATAAGTTCGGCACCAGTGTCTCTCGACCCCAGTGAAAAAACAGATCCACGTCACTTGCCTTAAAAAAGAAACAATACGTGGCATTTAAAAAAAACTCCCTTTTCTCACTGTTTTCCCTACAAAAATACCAATATTCTTCCCTAGGACAATATTGTTACTGTCTACTGCTTACATAAATATACATGACTCGTGTCAAAATAACTACAATCATATCTGAACAACTACAAATCCTATTTTAAGTTACTTTTTCCTTCAAATGCTTTTATACCGATGATACGTCAATAAAGCAGTGCTAAACTACCGTATTTATGCCGTATATCTACAGTTATGTATTTACAATGAAAAAGCAAGGGATCTGAAGGATTTTGATTGCTCGTACGAGCTTGTTTTATTTGACGTCTGAATTCTAAGTTTTAAATGAAATCTTTAAAATTGTAGCCTGTGGCTTCTATGTAAAATGGGTCTAAATGGAAGCTTAGACTTACGAGCCTCTGCACGGATACCTGCGAAGATTTTTGTTCAAAACTGCGAGGCTTTTGGCGACGAATTAGCAAGACTAACCGCAAAATGCACATGGGCTTTAAGATTTTACGGTATTACTAGAATAAATTCCATATACTTACATCACCAAGATCAACCCCTGTCTCGTCCAAGTCTACAAATGTGTCATGGAGGTTCTTCCTCAGAAGGTAGGCGTAGGGATCTCTGTTGCCATAGGCAACCAGGAGAAGAAATATGACGAAAAGAAAATACGTCAACACCTCTTTTATGATTTGCGACATGCGTACTTCCTTCAGTCTTTGTTCACGTGCAGATTTCAGAAATTCTTCGTCTGGTGGCCTGTTTGGTAAGAAAAATAAGAGGCGGAGTCCTGTTACACCGCGAATTTCTCTTGCAACTTGTCGAGATGCAAGTTTAAATAAAAATTGCCGAGTATAACGCCCATTTTAAAGTAAAAAACTATGTCTCGCCATGTTATCGTTAGGTTAAGTGTTGAAAAAAGTAGATTTCAAAAATTACTGCTGCAATATTTTAACGTTGCAAGACATGACATTATTTTATGAAGTGTTATACCACGTATATAACAAAATTTCGTCATTTCCGTTAATGATCCTGGATCACTTGATATAGTCATAATTGAAGAGCTGCTTGGATTTCTCGGATAAAGCATTTTCTTTAATAACGTATTTCACTGTTCACAAACCAGTACTTACCCGTATTGTTCGTCATCGTCGTCATAATCTTGCACAATGTCATCTCCAGTCTCTCTTCCATCACGGCTACCTTTGAGTTTCTTCTTTTGCGATACGTCGTCGTCCGAATCCATTGGCTTTCGGATAATCATGGCAAATAACAGAGCCGCCAAGACTACTTTAAAAGGCTGTATGACTAGTATGGACTGGGAAAATGAGGTCACAAAGGCGATAAGCCATTCATTTGCTATCTCTGGCCCCCATGCCAGAGAGTAGAAGACAGTAAAAGCTGCACTAGTAACAGAAGATAGAAAGCAGAGAACCCATGCTACGTAAACAAAGCCATGCGGAAGGCCATTCTGTTTCTTCTTAGTTTTGTCGTCTTTTTTCTTGTTGCTATTGCTGACAGCTTGTTCATCTTTCTCGAGTGAATACACCTCTGGTAAATCCACAGAAAGCGACTCTCTGGAGGTGCACCGGCTAATATCTGAAAATCCCTCGTTTCGCCTTCCCTCGGTCCCCTCGGTGGTATCTAGATCAGGCTGCTGCTTTGATTTTTTCGGGCGCACGCTTCGAAATATTTGAACCAATGCTAAGTTGACGGGGAAAACAATAAGACTCGCTTGGATACCGATTATCAACCCTCTGAGATCGAACTCATACGTTCCAATTCTTATCATCATTGGTGATTCCGCTGATCCTCCTATCTGGTAAAACATGGCGTTCGTGACCATGGTGAGGCATAGTAAAGACAAACAACAAGAAACCCGCTGAACTCGTGTGAACGGGCTGTTGGCAGGACGTGTCACCACTGAAAACCACAGGTGTCCGTCGCCCAGTTCTCTAACTGTCTTGCTCACAAACAGATGTTGGAAGTGTGTCAACTCCTTGTCGCTGGCAACCGGAAGTACTCTATCCACCCTCCCGTCATCCTCTTCAACGGCGAGCCACCGCTCACAGATGAAATACCAGCGGTCTTCTGTACGGAGATCATCCACTGAAACGCGGCTAAGATACCAGGAAGGATTGTTTCCTATACGTTGGTCACAGAATTGAAGGAGATTAATAAATATACCGTTGGGACTCTCTTTCGCTAAATTTTAAGGTTAAGAAACATTTTCGTCCTCGCCGAACCAGGATTGACATGTTGTATGCTTGGGTTATTTCAACATTATGACTGACTGTTTGGTATTTAAGTGTGTTTTTTAAAACGTTTTGCTCAATTATAGACAGTGGATGATTCAGACGACTTATCTCATTTCTTGTTTTCAGATAAAAAAATGGGTTGGGAAGAGCTGATAAGTTAAAGGTATTAAGGAGAATACCGTCAACTCTCTTTAAGATGGACACCTTTGGGATGGGCACTTAGTGTCCGTCTTAGAGAGATGTCCGTCTGATAGAGAGTTAAATAAAGGGGGTAAAGAAAGGCGGGGACCAACTCTAGGTGTCCGTTTTACACTGGAGGTGTCCGTTAAGAAAGGGTTCACTGTATAAATACACTGTAATGCCGTAATACCTAAGTTATCGTGCCATATCCTGATATGATTTAAGTTACCAAGTCGTCTGGGCAGTGTCACCACGAAGTTATTCTCCTGTCCCCTTTGGAACACTTTCCGGTTATAGTCCACCAGCGGCATTGGGGGGCTTTCCCACTCGTCACCTGAGAGCACTATAAATACACTGCTGGTGGTCCCTGCGTTCTGCCTCACTCCAGTGCGAACGCTTATAAGGTATGGAAACGTGGCTTCACCTCTTTTGCTTACCGCGGTAGCCCCAGTCTGCAGAATTGATTAAATGTCGTCAGCATAAATTGAATGTGCCTACATATACAAAAGTAGGGTGGTTTTTGACTGCGCGGGAAAAGCACAAGTTAAGATTCGTTTACCAAAAAATGTTTGAGGTTCAGTTCTTGCCTCACCCCACCCCCTACACTAAAAATGACGCGTACCGGGAGCCGATTGTGCACGCGTACAATATCTTATGTAATTTGGAGACCGTACATTCGTTTATCATACTATTAGGCGGTTTTACAATTCCAGGTCGTGGGCCTTTGAAGCCCCCCCACCTCCCCAACCCATCCCCGTCCGATAGCGAAAATAACCGATCTGATTATATATTTCAAACGATCCAGGTTACTTGACCAGTTTGCGTGCGGAATTGGGCTAAATTTGAGGATGCAGCTCGTTTAAGCAGTTTAAGGTAAACTCTACCTTATGGTGTTTGCCGTGAAAGTGAATGTTTAACCCATCTATAATTGTGACCTCCTGGCAGGGGAAATTGCAGCAAATCCTACCTTCTCGAGGTCTTTTTTGTCAAATCTCCTGGCAATAACAACCAGCAGTATGTATAATCCAAAGATTAAGCACACGACCAACAGAACCACAAAGTTCTCGCTCAGATCGGCTGAAAATACTTTGTCAAAATCGATTGGATTTGGTGCCACCAGAAAGTCGCTGGCAAATGAAGTTAGATGATTACATTTGCAATGGATAAGCTCGGGTTTGGTTTGTTCTCCGACCTGTGGAATAAAGTACTGTTGCATTAAAAGACAACAATAATCAAATAATAACCCTGTGGGGATTCCATCCCATGTGAAAGAAGCGAAGATGCTGGTCGGAGATAGAATTAAAATTGAAACCTCTAATGATGACCAGTCCCCGTGTGGCTCCATCTTCATTAGATTACACAAGAGTATCAAAAGCTAAGTTAATTTCACTGCAGTAAAGACGAATGGTAAATGCTGCAATCGATGTGATTTGTACTTTGTCTTGACCACTCTGATCAAGCGATACGTACATGCATGGGTAAAAGATACTGGTGTTCCGTTCCCTTAGAGCCCCTAAATCTGTATAAGTAATACCAAAGTGTGCAGTATACACCCCTAAAAGAGATAATAGGGGCCTTAAGATCCGACGACGGCGACGGCAACGAGAACGTCAAAAAAGCAATCGGTTTAATAACCAAAATAACAACTTTGCACGTGCATCACGGTTTTTTGTACATTTCTTTCCCGTCGCTGCACGACTACGACCTGAAAATGCCTGATTTCACGTTTTACAGAGGAATTACACAAGCGACGACGAAATCTCCTCTCTCTTTCTGAACTTGTATATGGTTGTTAGGGATTTAACTTTAGGAGGGTTCACCTAAAGTTAGTGACTTGGAGTAGTGAGTAGTGAAGATTGAAAGAACGCGAATTCACTTTTTCAGCGACGTTTTCTCTGCCGTCACCGTCCTGGGATCTTAAGGTCCCTAGTAAGTGTCTGATACCCTCCATTTACATGGAATTCCCAAGAAAGGGGTCGACAAAGCGGAGTCAAATACACAGGTCTGAAAAGGACTCACCTAAAATAAGAACAAGTAACAACTGGAAAACACAAAACAGGTTAGGACAGTGACTACTGTACAGCAGCAGCAAGATCAGTGGCATTTAAAACCCAGAAAAGACATCAAGTTGAGCACCAGCAAAATCAAAATCAGTGAAGACGTGTGCTACATCAAGGGCGAGATCACCCCTATCACGACACCAAAAAACATAGCAATCGCAAATACAGTGGCACTACAAAGGCAATTATTGAACTTTTTTTGAACAGATATTAACACATTATAATACCAGCAGCAAAGTCACTCGCCTTGCACCCAGTGTTGATCCAATTCTCGTTTACTTCATCCCAAAATAAGCAGTTTGATGAGAAAACTCTCAAGAGATAGCGTTCGGTGTCATTGGGGTTGAAGGTGTTGCCTTGAAAGTCCACATTAGGAGCTTTGGTGCCTTCTTTTGAAGGTGTGGTGGGTGTTGGAGGCGGAGGTGGGATGATCACGCATGAACGCTTCATTCGACCATGGGAACTGCTGCTGCTACATTCTAAAGGAAGACCTCTACGCTTACGCTCAGCGGCGGGCGAAGGACTTGTTGCTTGCACGTCCGGTTCTGTTAGAGTCTCCGGATCTTGTATTTTGTAATAAATACCTGGAATTTTCAAGACATAAAGTGTGAGATGAAGTTAAGTAAAACTTTATCAATACAGAGTGGCTTGTTCAGCTCATCTGGCATACATGGTGATCGGTCGTTTCGCTAACGTCCCGTTCGCTAACGACTTAAGTCGTTTCGCTCACGAAACAAAGCAAGCGCTACAAATGTAATATATACCTCGTTCTTTCAGCTATGACACATAAGAGTCCAATACAATACATCGTTTGCGAACGGGACGTTGGCGAAACGACTTGTAGGAGAAACGGCCGTAAATCGGCTTCCATAGACTTTAAATTATGAACTTAAAATTACATTAAACGTTCAATTTCAGTTAAAAAGCCTCAAGTTCAATTAAGATCTAAATTACAATACAAAAATGAATCAAACGTTATGCCCGGTAAGATAAATATGTTAACTTATCGACAGTATCGTTCCAGGGTTTCATTTTAGTTTTTTGCCCTCGGGGAAAAAAAAGAAAAAAAAAAAAAAGAACAAGAACAAGAACAAGTACCAGCAAACAAGTCAAAACACATGTAGTGTTGACGCTGGAAATTAAGCCCGAGCCACTCGCTCTCCACCTGGGTGGGGTTGGTGGGGTTAGGGGAGGGAGACGGCGAGTGTTCTTAAGACCTGCACCTCCATTGCTCCCCGAGAGCATCAGTTCTTTTTTTTTTGGGGGGGGGGGGGGGGAGGAAGAGCGTATTACTTCTAGCTATCAATAGACGTTATAAATAAGCACTTGCAAGACCTACCAATGTAATATTTTCCCGTTTTAGTCACCAAGCTATTACTTATGGAGACGGTGTACGGATCTATGACACAATCTCTCACAACGTCGATCTCAACATGATACTCAGTTTCCGTAGAATTTGTCGCGTTTAAGTTCCCTGCACTGTTCACATCAGAAGAGCCCTCCGTAGAATTCAGCGATCCTTCTGTAGAATTCAACGAAGAAGAAACATTCCTGGACACGTTCCTGAAGGAACAGTTACTGAAGTTTGGAATTGTCCAGTTATAATCAAATTTTTCAGTATTTGGTCTTTCGTTATACCGCAAAAAGACAGACATTTCATTAGAACTATTCAGCGGGATCACTTGAATATGAACAGAATAATTTGCAGAATTTACGTCCAGTGTATGATATTGGATAAACTGGTTGTCTCCTAAAGGAATGACGTGGAACTCTTCTTGTTTTGGTATCTGGCTAGCGTTGCGTGGGATGTAAATGCCGACATCCCCGGTAAAACTGGAAGTGTTCAGCGGATTTCCATTTTCGTCCCTTAGAATAAGCCCCACTAAAAATGACTTGACGTGTTTGCTGCTATTCGACCAAGTAAGTGTGTTTTCAGGAGATGAACTCATCTAAGAAAGAGCAATCATCTTTGTTAGTTAACTATGTTAACTCCAGCTTTCTTGCCAAAGACACAATATGATTCTTACATGAAGCAAGGCAAAAGAAAACTGAGCTGAAAGTGAGTTATCTGTGAGCTGAAAGCTATCTACACCCCTTCTCATTCCGTTGCATTACTTAAACAAATGGGCCGCAATTAGACTTACGAGACAAATCATTAAAAATTCTACATTTTCAACAAAACCCTTCGTTTACATTATTGGCCAACCTCGTCCCTTGGGCGCTTTTCTCTGGCTTTGGAGGCCGGGAAAAGCGCCCTGGGGACGAGGTTGGCGATCTCCCCCTCAGCTGCAGACAAGCGCTCTACCGACTGAAGTAATATATTCTGCCGCGGCTAAAGCGAATACTGAAAATTACTCAGTTTTTGAAATAGTTATAAGCGAATCTTTTTTTACATTTTTTTTTGCCTCATGAACATATGCGTTTTATTTTTGTTATTTTTTGGTTATTGCTCGCAAAGAGCTGAAAATTGCACAAATATAATTACTTAATAGCCTACGTTCGATATATTAAAATTCTAACATAACTCCGAGGCTTTAGGGTCAAAGTTGCCAATTTTTCACGACTCCATTGCCTGGCAATTCCCAGAAGGGAATTGAGCACAAAGAAAACCATAGAAAAATGACCAGAAAGTCTCAGAGTTGTTAGAATTTTAATATATCGAACGAAGGTTATAAAATTTCTAAATGTTCTCAGACATAAGCAGGTTGTAAGGTATTGTAATGGCTAGAAACAGTGTTTTTGAAAACATGGGAACTGGTTTTTCCAGTTTTGAAACTCTTTAGGAGCTGAAATTGCGTTAAGATCAGCTGAAATAGTGAGATTTCAAATAATAATAATAATAATAATAATAATAATAATAATGACTTTATTCTAGTGTCAATGTATTGGCGGTTAATCTTAACTTGCCTTTTTGACGGTTGACGGTTACTTGACGGCTGAGAGTAAACCGGAGGGGGGGCGTACTTTAGGAATTTCTGGGTGGGGATGTGCCGCTGGGACCCTGGAACCTATACCAGAGCTAGTTCAGCTGATGGATTTTGTTACCTCATACTAGAGTAAACTCCCCAAATCCCCCCTGTCCTAGAGTAGCTGTTAGGTCACTAGCACAGTAGTCTAGCCAAAACAAAACCTTATACCACAATCCCTAGCCTCGATAAAGTCTTCTACCAACTGGTTAGTTTCCTGAAAAATGATACCCTATTCTAGACCCAAACGCTCTGATTTACATACCCTATCCTAGAGTAAACTGCTTGAAAACCATACCCTTCACAGCGGCACATACCTATATACCCCATATATGGCAGTACCCATCCCCCCCCTGGGAGTAAACCCCATTGAGACCCTCTACAAGTATTATATTCTCGTCAAAAGGCTTACACGTACCTGTGCACCAACACTAGAGTATTTTTCTGTTCCATTGGTTCCGTACGTCATATTCATTTCCTCAAGCGACGGTAAACTAAATCTGGTTTCGCTATTTGAAACACCCGAGCCACCCAAGTCCTCCAAAAGCAGTTTCCTTACAGTCAAATTTAAGAAGAGAGAGTTGAATTCGACTGGCTCGTCTCCAGAAATGAGATATCCCAAAACAGCGTTGGCTAGCGTGTCACGAGCCCCGAAACATTTCAAAGTGCGATTTCTGGCCTAAAAAGGAAAAAGATTGCTCTTATTGGAATGAGGGTCTCGTAAATATGTACAGAAAAAGAAACATTTCACTCGGGACATAAGTTCACTTCGAGCTGATCGATATCTAAGTAAACTGGATTACGAATTTAAAAAAACTGCTCACCTCTTAGTTTTTCAAGTATATTTTTAAGGTGTCTCACAATGCTGCAGAAATCACCTATATTTTTTATGGGGCGATAATTTTGCAGAAATCACCTATATTTTTCATGGGGCGATAATTTTGTCAACAAAAGGCGTTTCTATCATCAGTTTTTAGTCAACACTGATTTCGTATCATATGAAGTTATTATGGGGTCTTAATCAAAAGTTGTATATGTAATTTCTTAGTTTTGCTGTTTACTTATGAGGCATTTCAAAATAATAAAACTATCCGATGGATTTACGTGAAAACCTGTTGCAACTCTCAAAACTTCTAAGCGCATTTATAACTTGATATACGCACAGCTAAAAGCTCATAATAAAGAGGGAGTCAGGTGTTCAGATGGTCGAGTGGTCGTACGATCGGTTGGTCGGATAATCGGACGGTCAGATGGTCGGTGGTCGGATGGCCAGATGATCGGATGGTCGGACGGTTGGATGGTCTCTGGGCGGTTGGTCGGACGGCCGGATAGTCGGACGGTCGGATGGTCGGTGGGCGGGCGGTCAGGTGGCCAGTTAGGCAGGTGGTCAGATGGTCCCGGGTGGTTGAGTGGTTGGATGGTCACGCGATCGGGTGGTCGGGCGGTTGGGTGGTCAGAAGGGACCTCGGGTAATCCGCCGATCCAGTTTGGCTTTCGTTTGGAAAGCTAACGTTTTTGGGGCTAGCCCTTCGACAGAGCGAATCACTTTTACTTGAAAGCAACGCCTTAATTGAATGTGTTACTTACAATCTCCTTGCTAGAAACAATTCCATCATCTCTTGAATTTCCGGTGTAACCAGTTATATTCTCGTTCGTGTTATTAGCGTCATATTTCGCCAGTAAAGATGACGAAGCCGCTAAGTTTCCTATGACACTAACAACAGCAGCGATTCCTTCTTGGATTTTAGCGAAAACCACGTTTTCCTCTGGGGATGAAGCTATTACTGAGGTCATCTGGTCGATCACCGACAAAACCGTTTCCTGTTAAAAAGACAAAAAACCCACACACACACACACATTACAATGAATGCATATAACAAAATTATAGACTAATCAGGTAGGGGGTTTTAATTCTAAGTGATTAGAGGAAGATCATACCTTGGAAAGCATGTTCTCAGGTGATTTAAATATAGAATGGAAGTTCTAAACCACGTGAGAATGCTTCCGAGTGGTTTCTCCTCTTAAACTGGCTAATTGCTTATTTACTTTTAAATTTTAAAAGAAACGCGTTAAAATTAATGTTTAAAAGTACACACTCCGTTCAAACAAACTTGTCATATGGAAAATTAAGACCCTTCAAGATACGTTTGTATTGGTCAGTGACCGATAGACGTTACTGGGAGCATGCGCACCTGTGCTGTGAACGAAAGGTTTTCTGAGTGACTGCGTTAACTCTTTTACAGGGCGGATTCATCGTGACAACACTATCACATTTTATATGGCTCATTCACACAATTGTTAACGCAACAATTAAATTTAAAGTTGTAATTAAAATTTTACTATAGCTGGTTAGCTCTGAGTAATCTATACAGTAAGTTTGAAGCTTTTGCAAGCAACAATCAAGAATACATTAGCTCTTAAAATTGCAGAATTGTTGGGTGGCAAAAACGCTCATTAGACATACATCCTTTGCAAGGATTCCAACATTTGAAACGATTTCTGAAAAAGTATCTCTCTTTTCGGGGTCACATTCAGAGATAGTAAATTCGACATTCTTAGGTAGTACCTACTTAAGAATGTCGAATTTGCTATCTCTGAATGTGATCCGATAAGAGAGATACTTTTTCAGAAATCGTATTAGCCAACAGGAGCTACTCCCCTGTAAGCTGATACAACTTACACCAAGTATTTCTATTAGGTGTCATCATAGTAGTAGAGAGTGGTTATGAAAGTCGGCAAAAATCTAAGGTGAAAACAATGGTTCTGCAGTTGATGTTGGGAACTGCCTGATGGTGGCCAACTTGAGACGGAATGAATTAACGCAACGTTTCTATTGGTCAGTTGGTTAAAAAAGATAGGAATGCCGCTGAACGTTGTGCATGGTCAAGTCCAATAAAGCTAACTTGAAGGGTCTACATGTCACTTTGATATTACTGTTTTACGTCAGTTGTGACCTTAAGTCACTTCTAAATGCCTTAATACTTACGCATAATGTTCCTGCAGAGATACTAAAAAGATATCAGAGAGCGGCTTTAACGGTAATATTTTTTTGGCTGTAATTTGTGTCGTCATAACATGAACACTTGAAAAAAAAGGTATTGTTTTTTCACGTTTCAATCCATGTTCATCCTTACAATCCGTAGGAACAGACAACAGGCAACAGTTTCAACACCTAAATAATATAGTCTTAAATAATGGAACGGGACAATTACTTTTGAAATTCAATTGATGCGAATGTTCGAAAATATGGCTAATAGCATGACAAAGCCCCTTCAACAAAAACGTAAACAGGCTTAATAACCAATGCACTTTATTAACTGTGGTTTCATCGTTCAGGTTTTTACCAAGAAAGGATACTATAGGGAGAATACCAAGGGGTCTACCATCCTCTCTTGTTTATACTTGACAGCGGTTTTTCACTAATAGTGTTCACGATCACGCAGTTTTACTGGGTACCCTTTGATCCTCTTACCCCTGCCTGTGTATCGATTTCGCCCGGCTGTTGAGTCAAGCTATCTAACGCTGAGCCCACAAGCTTGATCTGGTCCACATTGGAAACTTCAAATTTAGCCACATTTTTGATGATTTCTTTGCGAAACTGGAAAAGAAGAGCAACTCTTTAAAACTATTGAAAGAAAACTCCCTCACACAGCTTTCTCTGTCGATAATTTCTTCAGCTCATTAAGTTATGAATATATGAAAATCATGTATGAGAACTTCGGGGTGAAGAATTATATGAAAGAAGATCATGGCAGTTATAGACGTAACTTTTGCAGTTGCGAAAAGAAAGCCTGAAAAAAGAATTCATAATAATTCTTTTCAGGCTTTCTATTTGCAACTGCAAAAGGTGCGTCTATAACTGCGATGATCTTCTTTCATATAATTCAGCTCCATTAATTAGTTAAAGATTACATTAGGTCACTTAGTCGTTACTATGACCCCTGGGGGTCGGCAGAATTGAAGGAGGATGGTCGGTTGTTAGGGGATGCCTAGCTGTATCGAGGTTTAGTAATGCTTTGGGAGCCTTACAATGCTGAATACATTGAGTGAAGTCAATATTAAGTCAAGTTGATATTTTGTATCAATACGAAAGAGCTTTAGGAAACTCTTGCGGACAAATCAACGGAGTTTGTTGACCCGATATGATCTTGGGAAGCAAAACGAACTGATTTCCGCAAGAACAGTCATTGAGTGTTTAATATCTTTCTCAATTATAATTGGCATTATAGAGCAAAAACTGAACTCTAAGTGTTAGTAGTAGTGCATCACCTCATGTCAGTCTGAAAGTGGGTTCAATCTTTTTTGAACCTGAAAAAGGAAGCGGAATTCATCCCCTATTTATCGCGGCAAGGAGAGTCTATCGTGGAGACTGCTGTCGCTTTACGATCGCGATAATTGCAGCCGAGTTGTTTCCATAAAGTAGCTATGATTGCTAAACCCGGCTTTTTTTTTGCAGGGATTTTGAAAATTCTTGTGTGCAAACTATAAACAATAAAAGCCGTCCTTACCTCTTTCCTTTTTCCTTTCGTTATTGCCACAGCTTCCGTCTCGTTTTGACTCCTGCCTGGTTTATCTTGCCTGCTCATGAAGTTTAAAATCGAAGAGAGAGAACTGGCGATCTCTACTACTTTTTGCAAGTCTCCTTTCTTAATTGCCTCTTTCAAAAGTCCGTCGTCGTTACTTATGAAATGTGCAAGACCTTTCTCATCAAGCGGTGGAACGGTTACCTTTATAGGGATGTGAAAAAATACCTACCTTAAAATCAGCGATGTTTAATACAATATTTAATTACCTTGAGCAGCTACAAACCAACCTTCTTTTCATTTTCGAACACCATCCTATCTCTCTTCTCCTCCTTCACGCCAATTTGTTCATTCCCCATTCCTCATTTTTTTCCCTGCTTAATTCCCTCTTCCCCTCTTTTCCTTTCCTCTCTTCTTGTTTTATTCTCTCCCTTCTTTTTCCCTTCCATCCTTTCATCCTTCCTCCCTTCTACCCTCGTTCTCTCTCCATCCTCCCTCTTTTCTTTCTTCCTATTCTCAAAATGTAATATTCCTTCCTTAACATCTTCTTGGTAATGCCTACCTTAATTAGCACCTTGTTGCTAACTAGAAAGCTCCCTCTACAATCGTTCCCTTTTTTCAAACACTTTTTAATTCCATCTTCATGTTTTCATATCAATGCACAAAAACACCTTATACATTCTAACCCTTCACCGCCGAATTTTCTCCTCACCTTAAGATCGCGAAAAACTGCTGTAGCAGCGCCGAGGTGATCGATTATGCGCATGCGCAAGGTGAGCTTGAAATCGTTGCTTTCGTGGCCCATGGGAAGAAGTATTGAAGATGCAGTGGAATCTTTAGATACGTACAAGACGGATGGCTGGAAATCAGTCAAGTAAGCGAACTCATAGGTCAAAGGACGATCAGGATCGGCCCAGTCTGAGCAGCTTATCTTAAATGAGGTGTTCATGGCTACTCCATTCTTTGGCGTGACAGTGCAAGTGCCTGAAGGAAAATCAATCATAAAGAACTGAGACATGAAGTGTAGTGGGAGAAAGGCTAAAAATTTCTGGAAAATCTTCCCATTCGTCTAAGATTTTGGGAGATAGAGGTTTTTCACAATTTATCATTATGATATTGTGATTATTGATAAAAACGGGTCTCTTGAAAAATTCGGTGAAGAGAAAAAACTTCCCCTTGAATCTTGTAACGAAAGTACGGCTACTCAGTATCCTCCATTTTTCGACCGTATCCATCAGGGTTGCTAACAGTTTCGGATGCGATGAGACGAAAAAGCCGCCTAAAACTTTCGAGATCATCAAAGTTCCCCTAGGATATTTGAACAGATTAATAGTTTTTAGGACAGCTCCAAATTAACCAAAGAGGCTTCTAGTAAAGAGAACAACCATTTGAGTCATAGCCTGCGAATACAGCCGTTTCTCCTTGCTCCTGGCCGCTACGGACGTTTCGCCTAACGACGAGGATCAAGGAGAAACTGCTGTATTCGCAGGCTTTTTGAGTCACCTCTGACGTATTTGGAAACAATTTGCTAAAATTTCAGCTCAGGTTTGACCCAGCAATCACGGTGATCGAAACGCAGCTCAACGGCCCCTTTAGTTACATGCCGGCAAAAATCCCATTGCTTCGGTTTACTGCCTTCTGCAGCTATATGACAGTTATATTACGTCCGGAAAAGCACAGTAATGAGATTCATACTTTTTATGATAGGAAACGCGAAGTTTCCTTTATAGCCCAAACATAAATTCCTTAAGTAAGGTCAAAGTTAGGGGCATTTCTGGACAGCTATGACAGACCTCCTCGGCTTTAACCCATTCGTTCCGAGAGATTTTGCCGAAAAACGTGTTTTGAAGCTAGCCGAGTGGTTTTATGGCCACTGTCGTGCTATAAAGAGCTAAAACGTACCACAAACCGGTTTACTGGTCGTACACTTCGCGGCCTCGTGATCCAGATGCAAAATATCAGCTTGCGAAGTTCGAGCATGCACAGAAAGCAAAATTTCGAGTTATTGGGTTTAAAAGTGACACAGCAGTCTTGACTTTTACTTTTCGCTTTCTCTCCTGCCCTCTTTTTTCGCTTTTCTTGCCTCATTTTTTTTTCTCTTGCTGGGCATTTAGTAGGCCTCGTTTTGGTGGGAAGAGTTTTTAGGAAAGCTTTTAGGATCTTAGGATTAGGTGAAACGAAAGGTAGGTGAGCAATGGAACAAGATTTTCATGGAGATTTTCAGGTCAATGTCACATGGTTTTTTACTTCTTTCTCCGGTGTCCTTGACTGAATTGTGCTCATTCCGGTATGGATTGAAAGATCTCTTCACTCTGCACAAGGTAGTGGACAAAGTTGTCCTTGACCGTTAAAACTGATGACGTCACAAAGGTTAGAAAGGACGTGGATCCGTACGGGCGGTTACAGGCGGCTCATGGGCGAATGGGTTAATAATTCTTCTTATCATAGTGAGAACAACAATTATTTTACGAGAAGTGGTCTAAATTCATAAAATTGAAAAAAGTCAGGTTTTTTTGGGCGTACACTGTCGTGCGGACATAATTAAATTAGAGACAAATTTTGGTAAAATCTTACCGTTTTCAGGTGGAGAGTTGGTGAGAAAAGTGTGAAAGTATTCGCCATATTGTCCGCTTGGTCGTATTGCCCTGAATAAAGCAGTATAATAAGTATCTCTAGCCATCTTGTCTGGTTTCACTGCCAGATCTAGTGATGTAATTGATGTAGTTGTGATTTGGTCGAGATTTAGAACTTCGAATTTTTTCATTTTTTTCGTGTCTGTTGGGTCTATTATCTTGGGAGACGGGGGGTGACGAAAAAGCTTCCATTCGAACGACAGTGTCCCAAAACAAATCACACAGGTTCCCTTCAGTTGTAGCTTTTGGTCAATGTTGACCTTTGTTGAGCACAACGGAGTACAGCTACGGATCAAGAGAAAACAGGATTCAATTATTACAAAAGACATGGCCTGATACACCCCTAACATACAACACGTTATCATGGTATGAAATTTTCTAGAATACGAACAGTCTCTGTTTTTCTCACTCTGTCGAGCGAAAAGCGCTAGACACGAAAATGACCACGGCTCGCTCGCGCGTGTACTCCCCTCACTAAAGCGTGAAATTTAGGGAGAAAAAAAGAATGAACAGAAGGAGCAGCGAAAATTTTCTGCTATCTATAATACTGAAAGTGCGATCTTTTCTTTCCACATTTGTTACATAACGAAGAGTCCGAGAAAATCAATTTAGACAATAATTGTCGCAATAATTCGTGGAAGTGACATAGATGTTCGCGTGCGTTGGGCCTTATTTTCATGGCGGTCCCTATAAATAGAGCAAAATATTTAGATTTTTACTGAGCTTGAAAGGTTCTTGAAAAATAATAAAGAGGGGTCTTTAAGAGAAGGTCCTTCCATTGTCATAAATTAAAGCATTCAAGGAATCACCGACCCCTGCTGGCTCCATGTGATCCCTTTACCCGTTGATATGATGGGAATAAAACTAAGATAACTCGGTATTATAATCACAATTTTGCATGCGAAATGAAGTCGTGGGAACTAATTTTATTCGTATTTTTTTTCCTTAAGGAAAAGAATAAGTTGTCACGTTGAAAATGGTCAGAAAATCTATATTATAGGAAACAATTTTTACCAACAAATCTTAACGCTAAAAGTCTGAAAATTTGAGGCAAAATTTGAGGCTGAAAAATTTCTTTTTGCCTCTCCTCGGATTTTCGAACTTCAAAAAAAATCGTATAATTGCCCATTTTTAACGGATTTTTACCCTAAAAAGGTCACTTAGAATTTTCGGGAGCCTTTTTCTGGCTCAAATTTTCGAAAAAGGTAAAACTATAATTTTCACTTTCAGCTAGGGGGTCCCCTAAAACAAGTTCCAGCTTTTGATTGAAGACAGCTTTTTTTGTAAAGAAGGGATTATGGGTATAGAGAACAAGCGTAATGATGTATCTGTAATGTAAATCAAAGTACATGGGGTCAAAAATGTATAAAGCGAGCTGAAGAAAATTGTCAATACGTTAACAAATGGTTTTCAGCTCTAGACGAACAGGTTCAATGGTGACCGTGATGCAAATTTTACTGACACAGAACGTTTAAATATACCATCCTTAAAACGCTTGGGAAGAAAACTGAAATTAACGAAAATCTTCGATCAAACGCATCGCTTGCGGTTGATAACTTATTCGTCTAAAAAGTAACTGGATGAAGCTGAAATAAGTGGCAAGCCAGTGTTACCATGTCGCAGCAAAATGGCCGGTTTTCGTAACTCATATACGAACTCTACCATTTCCTGTAGGTGCCTAGGCACTAGCTAATGTGTACGACCTATAGTCCCGTCGCAGGAGCAGCATCAACCGTGTGGTATTATAGAAACTACTGCCTGTTTTGAGAAAATCCTAAAAACAAATACTGAGGACGGAATATTGAGCAGCAATACTTTTGGGTCTATTTATGTTCCCTGTATCAACGCCAATTCTCTGAACGCAGTTCATAATATACTATTACTCGTAGTTTCTCATCTAGAATTTTTTTGTGACATATTTTTGTTCATAACTTTGTGACAGTACACAAGACGCGCGTTTTCTGGGTAACCATTTTTGTCAGGAAATTTTTTGCCTTAAAAATTTCATGATGTATTGAATTTTACTCAGCTTTTTTGTAACAAATGTAATGTCAGTTGTTCGAAAAACAAAAAAAAACTAGAACGCTAGGTCGCAGTTTAATGGTCATGTTGATACGTACGTAGAGTTTTCTGCCATTCCACGTCGTGAATCAATCTGCACAAGAGGCCCTGTCAAGTTAAGCCGACCGGGACCTGTGCCAAAGCAGCCTCCCAGATTCTAAAACAAATCAAACCAACCAATTGGAATCAGCAAAACAAAGAATCAATGAGTCACGCTTTGCAGGGATAAAGGGCAACTTATTTGATGCCGTGGACTGATTTCACCGTAGTGTTGATACTCAGGAGGCGACCATTTAACATTGGAGAGGGGGAGAGGGGGACGGGCAGTAGTTGGTAGTTGATTTAAACTGGAAAAGAAATTGTTCCCCTTAGCCTACCACTGTGATTGGCATTTCTACCTACTATTTCAATGTTCCTTGCTCTGAACTCGCGTTACCTGAGTCCAATTACTCTAAAGGTGGTTAAGTTGGGTTGAGGGTTATGCCTACCGTGCGAGCAGAGGTTTCTCTGTTGCATGGCTTCTTAGCGTTTACTAAGTCGTTCGCGTGGCTTGTATGTCACGTAGTTCGTTTGTTTCACGGGACGTAAACAAACCAACTATGCGACAGACAAGCCAAGCGAACGACTTCGTAAACGCTAGAAGCCATGCAACAGAGAAGCCTCTGCTCTCAGGGTAGGTTAAGCCAACAAATTCTAAGCCTGAGAGTATGCTTGTATAGCAACATTTAACTGAAGATCTTACAACATATTGTTAAGCCTTTTCTTCGAGATCATTTTTGGCACAAACTAAACTATCAACAACACTAGTTCCTTTGTTTATAACATGATTTCATTGACGCGTACTAGAGAGATTGATTTGAATTTCTTTCGAAACAAGCTACTTTGGAAAAAAAAACATGGCATCACGGGATTCCAAAAAATTGTGTCTCGCGAAAATAAGAATACACGCCTCGATTCGGTGAAGAATAGTAAACAATGAAAAAAAATGACACGAAAGCACACATTCAAATCAATTCAAACATTTTAAATCAAATTAATTTTCTTGAACGACCGTACCTTTTGCCATTATTCTCATCATTAACGAGTTGGCTAAAATGACTCTTTCAGTTAATGGTTGTTAACGATGGATGACTTTATATTACCTCAGAAGCATTTTGGTTGCTGTAGTCCGTATTTAGGTCCGGTATAGGCACAAGTGGAATGTCAGAGATATTTCCACTTGTGTTAAATGGACGCTCTGATGAATTACGACAAAGCCAATGGTACTGTGGAGTCGCTTGGTTAATGTCTGCATAGTCCGGGTCTTTAGAGGACCTGGCGTCCAAGGATATCTACATGAGGTAGGTAAACGTCAGTATAGATTACTAAATGGAGCTATTGCTTCCGCAATTCAGACTAAATTTAGTGACAGAAACTAACTATCAAAAACTCCTGTAAAAAACAGCTGCGTAAAACGGCCAAAGAAGGTTGAAACAGACACACAAAAGAATATACTGATGGAAGGAAATGGAGAATGCAGATACTGTGATTTTTGTTGTTGTTTTTCAAATGCTTCCGGGTTAATATGATTTCAGATATTACTTTGCAAGACAGAGTTTGTTTTAACGAAGAGAGAGGAAATTGTCATAGATCGATTAACTTTAAAGAGACGCATTAAGGACGGCAGTTCTAGTGGGGCTTTGCCACTGAAAAGTAAAGAAAACACCAAAAAAGGAGTTCTAATACATACACATACAATGCATACACTGTTTACAGGTAGCCATTATGACACTAAAAGGGAGGATCAGGGTGAAGTTGGTCCCTATGCGATTAAAATCTCTGGCGACCTTGGTCGGATAACCCGTAAACCCAAACCAGGAAAGGTTGGACATTTTCCACTTTTCGTCCAGGGTCTACGATCAATACGAGTTGAACGTCCAAGCCGCCCCTGGCGACCAAAATGTATACTTGCTCACCTTTTCGAACAGTGGTGTGGGTTCTTTTAACCGTCCCAAACCAGGAAAAACCAGATACTTTTGGAACAAGTGGGCTTTTGTCCCACAAGAACAGAGACGGGACCTACGGTTTTTCGTCCTTATCCGAGAAGACTAGAAGGTATAACCGTTAGCAGACGTCATTACAAAGGCAGCACTTTCTTCTCAATTATTGAAAGACCTTGAGTGCTGGTCAGGCTGGGGTTTGAACCATCGACCTCCCGCTCAGCAGACCGGCGTTCTCTCAACTGAGCTAACCAGGCGTTGGGTTAGCTTATGAGCTTAGAGAATAAAACTTTAAAAAAAACTTACAGTACTTCCATACTTGGCGCGTCTTTTTAGCCCTCCTCCTATAGAAGCCTGCAAGGAATCTTGGGTAGCCACGACATGTATAAAAGCAACCGCTGACCCCGAGACTCCAGCAATACCGTCCATAATGATCGTAAAGTTAAGTTTGTAAAAGCCAAATTCCATGGAGGTTGCTGCTAATTTCAAATAAGACTGGTCATTGGTTTCTATGTTTACTGCTTTCTCCGCTTGCTGTTGATACGTGACTGGGTCTTTAGAGATCTTGTAAACTTCCCAGAGAAAGGTTGTGGTTTTTGAAGCCTCGCAATCAATCTCATTATCAGTATTGATTAAAACAGATTCTGAACGTTTCATCTTTGTTGCGTAGCTCACGTTTGCACCTACATCTAAAGAAAACAGAGAGAAAAACTACGTCAATTTTCTTGAAAATCAATTATCAGAAAGCCATAATCAGTGAGAGAGATTATTGACTTAAATTGTAGCTAAAGTCAACTCTCTTGCAGCTCTAAGACGGTCACCCTTGGGACTGGCTCTAAGCGTTCTTCTAAACGTAATGTCCGCTGCTTTATTGAATGTTATATTCTGGTTCATGAGTTGCCTGGGATAGATAGGGTGGGAAGTTTTGTTTCCTAGAAAAGGGCAGCAAAATGGCAGGTGGACATGGGCCTGGTACAGTGAAAGGGTTCCAGCCGCACAATCCGACCTGGGATTTATGAAGGCTAAATGCAAAGAGAATTAAGCACTGTGCTTTCCAAATAGGATCATTAGGAATAATACATTGTATACTGTATATTGTACATCAGTGAGCTCAAGCAAAGGACGGCAACCGGAAGTATACTTACGGTCTTCTATTTTTGAGCAGCGGTTTTGCCCAAATTTTCGGACAGATCGTCTCTGTGAGTGAAGACAGTAAGCAGTACAAATGTGACAGGGTTGAGTTTAAAAGGGAAAAAGGCGTCACTTCCGGTAGATGTCCGTCAAGCAAAAACGCCGTGCTTTAATATTTAAGCTCCCTTACTTAAGCAATAGAAAACGTTTTCCGCGTTTGCATAGCCTGATATAAACACGAGAGGGGTTGGGAGAATTAGAGACAGTTATGCAAACCCAAGATGAAGTCGAGGGTTTGCATAACTGTCGAGAATTCTCCCAACGCCTCGCGTGTTTATATCAGGCGATGCAAACACAGGAAAAATTTTTTCTATTGCTTTTACAAAACAACTTGCTCGCGAAAAAAACGCAAAACTCTTTGTATGGCACTGATTAAAAGAGAAGTTCTTACCAGTGGCAAAGTCTTGTCCACGAAGTCTTGCACGCGTAATCAGTTCTTGTTTTGCAAAAAGATGCTTTCCAAAATACGGACTTTTCTCGCTTAAAATGTCAGCTTAAGCGAAAAAAGAAACGACACGCCTTCTTTATCATCCTCGGAGACCCAGGGGCAGATAAAGGGGGCGAGGGAAAGTCTAAACGGGCGGAAAAATATGGTACGAAGAAAAGTAAAGAACAGAAAAAACAGAAAAACACAAGTTTTCTGGCACCAATCAGAAGCCAGAACGGCGGCGACCGTTTGGAACTGGTCTGGTAAGACATTGTCCCCAGGGGCTCTTCTCGCCGTTCTTTACTTTTCTTCGTGCCATATTTTTCCGCCCGTTTAGACTTTCCCGCGTCCCCACTATCTGCCCCTGGGTCTCCGAGGATGCTTCTTTGTAACCATTTTCCAAGTTTCAGCCGACGAAGGAATGGGTAAATAAAGTAAACTTGTTGAGTTTTGAACTCGAAAACGTTTTCAAATTCGTGTTTGCGTGATTTGCGCGCGAAAAGCAAAACATCTTGACGCTACAACAATGTTTACATACTCTCATGCAAACACTCCTCTCGGCCAATCAAAGCGCGCGTACTATCTTGGTTATTTTATAAATTGGAGTAGCACGTAAAAGAAAGCAAAATATGAAACTCACCCACTATGGAAGCGTTAGGATAATAGCATGCCAATTTTAACGTGACTGACTTAAACTCCTTTTCCTCACGTGAAACGGTATTGTTGGCGACGACTTTTACCCGAAAATCACCAACAGTTTTATAGATATAGCGATGAGTAATAATCAGTACACTTTCATTAGAATGTTGATACTCATAGCCGGGAAAATTACTCCGACAATGACTTCGTCCAAACACAAAAACCCCAAGTCCATCACCCATATCCATCGTAATGCATGTCCTTGTGCCATATTTCAAGAAGCTCAGTTCAAAATCCGTCGTACTATTGATCTTTACCGGGCTATTGTCTGTAATCGCCAGGCCCATCGCGCTTCTTTCCGTTTTAACCGGAAACACCTTTGTCACGCGGCTTACCAGGTTAAAAACTGTCACGTTGGTCCAGTACTCCTTCTCACCTTCGGCAAACTGATGAGTGGTGGAGGAGGTGGTGGTGTTTTTCTCTGTGCCGTCATCAAACTTCCACCAGAACGTGAGGTTGAAGCCTTTGTCGGGCGTAGCTGTAAAGTTGACTTTGTGTTCACAGGGAAATATGTTTTTGTCGGGTCCAAACCCGTGAATATTAGAGCCAAAATCACTAACTGTTGTGAAGGTGTCGAATGCCACGTATGTAACGTCATCCTGGACAATGAGAATGATTGATCGATTCACCTCTGACACCAGATTCTTAGCTTGAAGCGTAACAGGGAAAACTCCATTTAAACTAACGGTAACAAATGGGC